ACAGTCGAGTCAGGCGCCGGTTGTACATAATTCAACGAGAGCATTCACAGCACGCGGTTCAACCAAATCAAATCAAAATCGTTGATTTTTTTTTAACAATTAAGACCGTGGCACTCTTGAAATTTGATTTGATCGATAACTAAGAATGGCCAGAAGAAATAATGGGTGACAATAAAATAAAATTTTTATTACAATTTAATAAAATTCGTACAAAGTTGTGAATTTTGTACGATTTTAGTAATAAAAAGTATTGTGACATCGTACAAGATGAAGTAATGGATCGAAATGTGAAACTTAAACTTCTTCCTTTTAGTAATTCTATAACATCTGATGTATTTAAAACCGTCGTCTTTTTGTTCGTAATGGAATATCTTCCTTATTAAAAAATTATACGATTTTCATTAGAGTAAATGTGGCGAAATATTTGTTTTTTTTCGAATGAACAAAGGAAATCAAACAAGCTACAGTTGTTTCTAATCATTGAATGTGAATGCTTTAGTAAAATCTTAGACTGTATCTAATTATAATCTGGCTGTATCTTCGATCGCTGGTGTGAATCAGCCTTAAATATTATTTGACACTATTTTTACTTATGAAATTCTGAATGATTTTACTCACTTGTGCACCAAGAAATAACTACATTTTAATTTATCGATCGTATTATTACGATAGTTTATTTGTATGATATTATTTATATAATAATAGATTTACATAGGTTAAAATTAATTTCATTTCCTCTTAATTACTGAAAGACAAATAATAGAAGCAACTGAATTCTGTATCTTTTAACATTACTGAAATAAATAAGAAGTTTCATTAATGAAGCCACGTAATTGATTTTAAATTATCAATACATAGATACAAAAAAATCAGCTGTTGTTAGAAAATATAAGATTATTATTATTATTAAAATTATTGGATATAAAATTATTATAGATTATAAAATAACAATTATTCTTTTTATATTTTTAAAAATATTTTTAAAAAGATTTTTAGAAATATTTTTTTAATTTATTCTCTGTATATTACTCAGAAAGATGTGTCTTCTTCAATTACTTGACAATGAAAAAAAAAAAAAACAAAGTAAAATGTAACGCATCTATTCATTCAAAATTATATCAACTTCATTTTTCTGTTACAAAACATAATCTGAAATTAAATAATCGATTAATTTTTGAATATATTGATGTCAAACCAATAAGAATTTAGATAATTATTTAAAAAAGTGGAATCCTGGCCAATTTCAAAAATTTTGAAATATATTGAAAAGTATATTGAAAAATATATTTTCTCCATATATATTACAATTCAGTTTTAACTTCCAAGATATATATACACAAAAAAACTCTAATGAAATTTCTAAAAATATGTCATCTCCGATTTGGCTGAAATTTCGAAGATAGTTTCATTTTACATAAAAATAATATTCATGAAAAGGATTATTGACAATTCGAAACTCAAGACTTTTGCGATCGAATAGGGAAGTCCATCGGTTTGAATTGCCGACTGTCTTACGGAATCCGACTAACTTATTTAGTGAAATTCTTTAACTGAAACTTTATTTTCGTTTCAAAAAATAGTCAACTTTTTTTTATAGTGGAATATTCTCTTATAGTATATTGGTTTGGGATAAGTTATTTGAAAATAAATGATTCTTAATGAATAAAAGGAAGAAAATATGTCATTTATTGAAGTGTATATTCTTCAATATCCCAATCATTGAAATCAGTGAAGTTTGTCCTTTACAAAGGATAAAATGTTTATAAATATCTCGAAAGTTAAGACTGAGTGACAGTAATGTATAGGGAAAAATTGTTAATTAATGACATCAGCAACATCTTTCAAGGGTATTCTTCTTTTCTACATAATTAACAAAATTTTTCGACCCCTTAATGAGGTCTTTTAATTGTTTCTGATAAATTTTATTTTTGTGTCTCACTTGATTTTTAATAAAAATTTTATTTCAAATTGTACGACGCTTATTTTTTCTTGTAAAATAATGCTATAAAATAATTTCTTCAAAACAACTTGAAACGAGCAGAATTTCAACCTGCGTTGAAGATCATCACGATCATTAATTCTTAGTTATTGCTATAATTAGAAAAAGTATTGAAACATTTCTCATCTTTTACTTTCTAAAATAATTTGATTGCAATTAAATATTGGCGTGTACTTAATCATATGCAAGATATATGTATACTAAAGTGATTTGTATGGATGCAAACAAATTTTTTAATAAAAACATGTATGAAAAATGAATTCTTCGTAAAACAGGCAAGGGCAATGATTAAAATGAGAAAGTGTCAAAGATTGATGATTAAAACTGAAAATTTTATTCAAAAGACGTTAAAATCTTGTACGTGTACACATAGTGTATAAAATATTTTATCGTCAAATGGAACGAGTGTGAAAAATGAATTTGTATTACTATAATTGAATTAATTAATAAATATTAATAAATAATTCAGCCAAATTATGTAGATAGCTCAATCCTCAATGATCTGAAATTCAATAAATTTAGTTTCCGATTTAAAAAAAAGTGCTTTATTTCTATTGGATATATTTTATTTTTATTTGTTTGTCATGTAGTATCGTAGTTATTACAATCTGTAGTTATATTTTTAGTTATGTTTAATTATAAGAGATGGCCTGTTTGCTAATTATAAAAATGCGTGAATGAGAAAAATATGAATGTAATGCTACAAGCACAATCTAGGCGTGGAACTTTCTTTTTAGAAAGAGGAGAGTCGAGCTAGTTGCAAAACGGAGTCGTGAGAAAGCGTTGAGAGAGAGAGTGGTTTAAAAGAGTCAATTGTGTTGTTTAAAAAAAGTTAATTGTATCGTTTATTTGAGGCGTTAATCTATTATTTATCTTGTGTAATTATTTGTTGTTTTATTACCATTACTGTTATTTAATAAACATCATATTATATCTCTACAGTAATAATGAATAGTATGGACATTAAAGTAATATAGATTACAATAAATATATAATACAAATTTAGAATGGAATTATAATTTTGTAATTTAATTTTCTTGTTTAACAATTTTATAATGTAAAGATTGCTCAATGTATTGATAAATTTTTACAACATAAAGATTATAAATACTGTATTTAATTAATTTTTGTCATTTTGAAGATTGTAAAGTTTGTGTATAATTTGAACCAATTACACTTGCTCTATTTTCTTTGCATTTAATATAAATAAAAAATAAATATGAGACCTTCAACATAATTTTAAATTAGATTAAACATTATTGATTTATAGTTTTAGATTGATACTGATTTACATTTAATATTGATTTATGGTTTTCTATAAAGTTTTCTATATAATTTTTTCTCCGAAATAAGTCTCTAACTGGAATGAAAAACCTAAAATAATACTAATCAAGCTAAAATAATTTTAGAATAAGTGTTTAAGTGTTATATCTGTATCCTTCGTAACTGTATATCTACACCTGAGGCATAAATCCTGGTGATTCCACTTTCCACGATTATATGAGAAACGAAAAGCCAACCACTGATATCACAGTTGCGACCGAGATGAATTACTCTGTCGTAGTAAAGTTAGCTACCTAAATATAAATTGCATTCCGTGATAACTGACCGCGCATATTCCGTAGTGTTCTATATTCAGCTGAAATTATGCGAACCAATTGACCTCATTGATTCGTTTTAATTGGAACCTTTAATAATGTGGTTTAGTAAATGTAGATGAATATATTAATGTTAATACTTAGATTGACGAAAATGATACTAATTAACTTAAAACTTTAAAACATATTTCCCAATTAACACAATTAATAATAAACACATATATTTACACATATAAGTTATTAACACAATTTTCAAATGTACGTGCATGTTTGAAATTATTATAGTAGTACCGGCATCAAGATCTAATCTTAACTATCTTTTTCTATAAATAAAATAATACCTGTCATATCAGAAACCTTATTATCTAAATACTCTAATATCCGAACGTTCTATTTCCCGGTTTTGCAAAAAAATATATCTACTAAAATATGAGAAGAGAGATTTTATTTAAAATATAATGAAGATTATATTTATTGTTTTTTTTAATTCCATGATAAGTCAACATTTCATTAATGTACAATGAAGATGTATACATAATTTTTTCATAAACTGAGATAGTAACAGAAAATGATGAGGACTTCTTATGTTGAAACATTAAAGGCATTCCGAAAAGATGATTCGAAATACAAAAAGAATATATTTATTTGTATTAAAAATAAACAATTCAGTCGTTGAAAAGATTTTTAAATATAGAAATATATTGCTGATTTTCTTGATTTCCATTTGAATACATAAAGTTTAATAACAGAAAAGTGTTTGTCTTATTAATAATAAATTTAATTTAAGACCAAATAATTTGATCTCCTTGGAGGAAATTCAATTTTCCTTTTTTTCTATTTCTCTTTTTTTTCTTTACATTACAACACCACAATAAAAACTTTAAGTTTTCGGAATTGTTAAAGATTAATTTTTTATATTTGAAATTTTACGTCATGAAATGCTAAGGGTTAACCTTCCTCGAAACGTCTTATGTATAAAATCTAAAAATTATTTCTCATTTCTCTTATGCAATTATATTTATCAGAAATCACGTAATTACATTGCTTTAAAGTATAATTTGCTCTATATGTAAAATTCAGAAAATAGGAGTAGATGTTGTGTGGAAAATGATTTTGTACAATTAAAGTAAATAATATTTAAATATTTAAAGTAAATAATATTTTTTAAATTTCTAAGGAAACTTGTTTAATATCAATAATGGTCGTTGGCCATTTATTTACATATATAATGTAGGGCACGCGTTCCTCTGTTCTTAGTCCTAATGGCCAGGAGTATTAAATATAATGTGAAGGGCGCATACTCGGGACGCAGTACCGTTAGGCCTATAAAGTAATTGCCAAAATTGCTACATGAATCTGATCCTGTCAATAATAATCATAAAACGCCTTATTTTCTGGATCAGGTGATCAGAAAGGACACAAAGAGAATCGGTCTATATAAGGGTCGACTCCAACGCGCTGCGTGGAATCCCAAACAGTTGAGTCTAGAACTGCAGAAAATAATTTAAATCCGTAAGTACAACCTACAACATTTAACATGTAACAAACAATCGACCACTCTTACTGTGGATTCCCAAATATAATAAAGAGTCAACTTGCAGGAAAGCCATCTGTTTCAACTATTTTATATGTATAAATTAAAAAATATTTGGGACATGAACGTCAGATTTAAAAAATAAAAGGTCTTTAAAAAAAAAAAACAAAAACAAGAAATGAAGAAAGGTATTAAAAAAAGCAAAAGTGAAGAGAATTTTAACAATTTGATAGAATTTATAAAAGCACATTGCACTTTTAATGTATATTGCTCATTAAGATATATGTATAGTAAGATATGTGTTCTATTAAAACGTTGATCACTAAAAGAAACTGCGTTTTAAATTCATATTTAAGAGCGATATAAGTATTGGGAAAAATAAGTCTCCAGTCAGTCATATACAACCATTGATACCAAAAATTTTTAAATAAAAACAAATTCTTAATTTTATTTCTATTTCTATAAAAAATTATGTGAATTTCTATTTTTTATTAGCAACAATATATGATAAAATATAAGCACAATTCTTTTCGTGAAGTTAACCGACTAATTCTTCAATCGTTTATTTACATTACCTGTATTATAAATTAATATAATAGTTGCGTTGAGATAGTTTTAATTCAGTAGAAATTGTATAAGTTGAAGGTTGTTCTTTTCTATCGTCTTGTTCTATTGTGTTTTTTGTGACCAATAACATGGCCTTTTTGGTAACTACTACTTAAAAATTTAACTTTTTATGTGCATAATATTATAAGATTAATTGTAAAAAATATCGCCGTGATTCTATTCGGATGAGTGAAGATTTGTAAAAAAAAGTGTATTCTGCTCATTATGAAAGGAAAAAGTTTCAAATAAAGCATGAGTCGTATAAGTTTGACTATTGACTTTTCCGTGATGAATAGAATATGATGTAATGAAAAAAAATTTGATCTTGAAAATCATACACAAAATTAATTTTGCACGGATTTTTTTTTTAAACTTCCACTAATCTAGAAATATACATATGATGTTCTTTACAATTAATTTTTACATATATGTTTTACATATACATCATTGTACATGTTTTGATTTATTAGCTATTCCTACTGGAATCTATTAGCTATTCCTAATTTGTTTACTGGTAAATGTCATAAATGTCAACATTTTGTAATGCTTACCTTTGAAAGACTTTCGATCAAGAAGTTACAGGAATTATAGAAATATAGGAATTTCAGCAGCTATACTTTGTTTAATAAAAGAGAAATTACGTTTCGCTGTATATGGAATTTTATTAAGATAATACATATTAGTTAATTCAATCAATTTCATTTTTGTAATTCGTTACTTTATATGTTTGTATTAATGATATACACGGTGTGGCACGTAACTGTCGTCACGATTCTTCAGGCACTTTTGATTGTGCGATAAAAAATGTTTTAAACAAAAATTAATCAGTTTCTAGTTAGCTATAAAGTACAATATAAAAAATTCCAAAAACTTTTTTTTTCGATAAAAAATCAAGATCACATTGATTTTTTTTAATGGCACTGTGTATTTTTGACTTGCAGGATTGTTGCTTCTGAAGAAACGAATTCAATGACCTACTATACTATGACCTCTAGATATCTTTGACTTCAGAAATTTAGGTTTAATCAACAGAAATTGTTCATTGTAAATTTTTCATGAAAATTATGTTCTCTAAACCAGTGAGGATCAACTCTGAACCAGAAATGATATCCGATGGTTAATTACATATTATTTGGATACTTTTGTCGGTTTAACGGTCTGACACTACAGTACAAGTTTAATATTTTTTCATAGCATTAATATCAACATGACTTTCACTCTACCAAGTTACAATCATTCATTCTGCTAAGACAATTTTGATATTCAGTCAGTACAAAACTAAGCATGTATTCTAATAGTGAAAAGATAAATATGCTGTTTATGCTCGATATGTGATAGAAATGCACGTAGAGCTGCAAATATGTACGCTACAAAATATTCAGAGAGACGCCACCCGTGTCCAAAAATGTTTTATAACATTGTAAAGTGTGCAGGAGTACATGCTATGAACTATGCTATAACTGAAACAAAATAATTTTCGATATTAACGTTTCTGTTGATTGAACTAAATTTCTGAAGTCAAAGATATTTGAAGGTCATAATATTTGTAGGTTCGTTTTTTCAGAAGCAACAATCTTGCGAAGTCAAAAATACACGGTGCTATTTAAAAAAACCAATGTGATCTTGATCTTTTATCGAAAAAATAGTACTTTGTAACCAACTAGAAACTGATTAATTTTTGTTTAAATCATTTTTTATCACACAAGTGCCTGAGAAATTGTGAAGACAGTTACGTGCCACACCTTGTATATTAAATCATTTATGGAAATGTCTAGTAGACTATTTCTTGTCTGTGCTCGTTATTGATTTCAAAATTTTGTTTTATGTTATTTGCATTTTAAACTTCAGAAGTTAACATCGACCAATTATAATCAGCTGTAATCATCGAGTTGTCCCTACTGGCAATATTGACCTTATACCCAAGAGATGGTGATTTATTATGTTACTTCAGTTGTCTGACACGTTCAAGCGTGCTTGCTTCGCAATAAAACGAACGTTTCTCTTCAGTTTTCATTTGAAAAATTTCTTCAAAATTTCTTTTTATTTCTAAAATGCAAAGTTCAGTTAATATAAAAATTTCTATTGTGTAATTTGTTCGAAAGCATTACATCTTCTGGAATAAATTTCAATTTCTTGAATAAATTAATAAATTACTGACAAAAAATCTTTATAATGAACTGGAGTAATATTAAGATGATACCCATACATTCAAGGCAAGAAATAAAAATAAGATTACAAGAACAAAGGCAGAATGTTATTCGAAAAAAATAACATAAACTCTGAAGAATGTATTAAAACAAAAGGGCTATAAAATTTAAAAATATATACATAATTGTCTAGAAGTAACATGTAACAATATATTTAACAATTAAACAATTAAGCATTGTACAACAATTTAATATTAATAGTTTATAAGTAAATAAATAAATATTAATATCTTTAACACAATATTATTTTATCCAAAATTGTTCTAAACAACGACAAAATGTTCTAAACTTTTAGACGATAGTGTATTATATTTTTTAATAATATAAAGATTATTATATTTTTAATAGCACTCAAATTTTCGTAACTTTAGAATTAATTACCCTTTCATTCTTACTATAACAATTGTATACATTAAATAAATTGTAATTGTTAATTTTAATGCAACGTAATACCTTTTATTTATTGCATATTTATTTACATCATATGGCATAATATTCGAAACTCTACTAGTGTCGGAATACTTTGTTACTTATGATTATTTGAGACTTCTTATCGAGGACTTGTTGAGATCATTTACGACTTCACTTTGAATTATGTAACAAAGTTCTTGTTCACGCGCGATACGTTGATTGTTACTATGCAGAACCAAACCAATAATTTTATGTAGTGAATAGCAAACTATCATGATTACTGTGCGCTGATTATAAAGCAATATTACTAACAAAACTATCGGAAAATGCACCTGTATCAATCGAAGGTCAAACGATTGCTTGCCAATAAACGGCAATCCCTTCCCTCCTCCAATATTAAACGAGTCTATTACACAATGTGGTAAAGACATGCACCGGAATCAGATGATTTCTTAACTTTTGAGCCGATGGAAGATTTCTTAGTTTCCCTTTTCATTGGTTTCGAAGATTTTTGGCCAATGGGGACAAATCGTTAACACCTTATATTAATTTCATGGGAAACGCGCTTTATTTAAATATTTTCGAGAAATTCGCCTAAAAAAATGTTACATAAACTATAACACGCTGTATGCTATTAAGATACATTTGAATATAACTTTCAGGTAAACTGATCTTTCAATTTTAAGGTGTTAACAATGCCTTAATTTTTTTTTTCCAGAGTTATTCTTCAAAACTAGCGCAAGACCCCAGTTGTGTCATAAATTAGATCATCACTCTAAATAGTTTTACATGATGATGTACATAAACATATCTATTGATTTTCAGAAACGCTCTTAATTTAAATGAGAATACAGAAATGAAAAAAGAAAATTTTACACATGCTAACAGTGTTATTACTTCAATGTAATTGATGGTGCTACTTTTATTTGTAGAATGTTACACACTATGTTAACTTGGTCGAGAAGAGACCAAAAATCCGGCAACTAAACTTGGCAATCAAATTTGACGACTAAACTCAGTGATAAAAGTTATGGCTTTTTAGTAAGATTAGTCTGCCAGAATGTTGCTAATGTGTTTTTGTGATCGTTAACAATTCATTGGCAATCCATTACCAAGTATGTGATGTCACGTCCACACTGCTATTAGTAAACATATTAGGTTATAGCTAGCTTGCAACAGTGACCAATGTTCGTTCGGTAAGTGGTACACCAAAAAATCTATTCGCGAACTCAAAGCATATGTGGACGCATAGAGGACCACAAACACCAAATAAACAAACCTGGAACTGCTAGCGAGCTGCTCACGAGTTATTCTAGCTACTATTCGATGCACTTTCTATTATCGAGCAGTTCACAAATTGCTCGCAGTTCAGTTTAATGTGGATTCAGTATAAAATACCATACATTTTTTTTTTAATCTAGTGATCGTCAATTTAATCTAACGACCCGACGATTGATTAACAATATATAACGACTTTTACCATGTAATGTATAAGTTTTGATTAAAATATCAATAAAGAACTCAAAGTAAATTTGCTACAGTCGGAAGACTAAAAATTTGCTTATTTTGTTGGATAGCAAAATTACAATATCAAAATGAGTTTTAGTACAGTATTTTTTGATAATACAGGTAATCACATGAGAGATATCGATCTTTAATATCACAGTCACAGTGAAAATTAGTTGACAAGTTGCATTTAAAAGAAGTAAATAGTTATTAATAA